GTGTGTTTCCGAAACGAATAGTATATCGATATTATTATTATACAGGAATGTTTTAGTTTCTGGGGCCCTTTGTTGTAGGCCGTTGGAGTTCCAGGCTGCTAATTTAAGCATGTCCATTATTATTTCTTATTTTTTGCTCAGCATGTTTGTAAGTAGTTGTAGCATAACTGTAATTTGTTCCGTTTGCTGTCTGAGGACTGCGTTTTGTTCGCTTAACATTTTTGTAAGTACTTCGGTGTTTTTGATTGATTGTTTTAGTAGTTCTTTGATTTCTGTAGCGTCTTCGGTGTTGTTGCTTTGTCTCTGATTGTTTATGGGAGTTGCTTGTCTAATGTTTTGGGTTGCTTGCGCGTAGCTTCGGTTTCCTTGGGGATCTGTGTTTCTGCTTATAGCTTTTATTTCCTTTTGTGCTTTCAATGTTACTTCGTTAGCCGTTGTACTTTGTTGTTGTTGGTAGTTATCGACTGATCTATTGCGAAGTGCTGGAAACAGTTTACGTTGAAGTTGTTTCCTGATTACACATCCTTTATAGCTGGCTGGGTGGTTTGCGTTACAATTATAACATCTAACTTGTTTTATTTTTCTTGCGTATGGGCAGTGTATTGTTAAGTGGTTTTTTGCACATTTAACACATGCCGGACTTCTGTTACAATAATTTTTTGTGTGATCGTATTGTTGGCACCGCATGCATTGTGATATATCTTTTTTGTAGCGTGGTGGTTCCACTGTTACTATTGTGTTTAGAATTTTTTTGATTTCATAAATTTCCTTGTTATTGATTCTGGGTTCCAGTTCTATTAAGAATAGTGGTAATGGTTGCTTCGTATCGTACTTTGTCATATTGTTTATTGTTCTTGTTTGATGGCCAATTTTTGCTAGTTCGTCACTTAATTTTTCTGTGTTAATTTTTGGATGTAATCCTCTTATAACTATTATGTAGCTTCTTTCCGTTTTAAGCTGGTACATGTGGTATATAGCATTTTTGTCCCTTAATTCTTTTATGATTTTTCTATAATTTTCTGGAGTGTTTGTTTGGATTTTTACCTATTCTAATTTTGTTTGTTTTATTGTGTAATTATCTTTTCCAACTATATTGTTTAGCTGATCAATAAGCGGGTCTATTATTTGCGCCTCGACAAATATTGGTGATGCTTTTGTAATGTGTGTTGGTTAAGTTGTGGTATTGCCTGTTGCGTCATCGTCTAATTCTTCCGTTAGCGAGCTGAAGGAGTTTCTTAATGGTAATTCTTGCAGCCATCGCTGCCTTTCCATATCTAGATTACCTGTTATTTTTCGTTTTTTATTGTAGCTGGCCACCTTCCAGCTTTCATCCTGTTGAGTTGTTTCTTTATTGGTTTCCATATCAACTTCAATTGTAACTGAGCAGTCCTGTTCTTGATTTATTTGTTGACTTGTTTTTGATGTATTTGTTGTTTTATTTATGTAGTATTGTTCGTCTTTGTTAATCATTTTTATCGGCGAGATTTGTTTTTTCATGGTAGGTTTGCTTGTAGTCTTCTTAATAGAAGACACGGGTTTCCACCATTTATCTATGCGCGTAGCGTAACTTTCTCGTTTACGTTCTTTAACTTTAACTTTAACTTTAACTTTAACTTTAACTTTAACTTTAACTTTAACTCTAACTTTACGTTCGTAACTTTCTCTTCCCTACTTGCCGCACTTTTCTGAAGCACCATTTTTCACGTCCGCTTAGCTTGGCTGCGCGGGCAGAACTGATTTCGATAAAGTGAGCAAGAACACAGAAATGTTTCAACTATATACAAACTAATGAAATATGTAGTTTATTCTATCTTGCAGTAAATGTTTTTTTGTACGTGATTTTATTCATTTTTGTAACAGACAAAAGTTTATACACAGAAGTATGTTTTTTTAAGAACCGCTATGGCTAGCAGGGATAGAGATCATGGACTGAAATACTTAAGTGGAGCTGAAAAACTAAAACGGAAGAAACAGCGAGACGGTTATATTAAACAGCAAACAAACATTTTGAAATATGTAATTGAAACTACTAGTCATTTAAGACAGCCAAACGAAGGTGAAGAACATACGATAATGAATCAGATCCCCCTGGAAGAGGAAAACCAAGAGTTAAATACACCTATGAAGGAAAATGAAGAAGACACCAATGAAACTGAATTAGACGAAAATAGAAACAATAAAAAAACGAGCGATTGTGAAACTTATCAAGAAAAAGATATTGAAAATATGGAAATTGAAGCGCAAAAAGAAGAAAACAGAAATTTCGACATTGAAGATCCTAGCACGTGGCCAATTGACAGAACACAACAAACAGTCAATTTAATAGTTCAACATGGTCCTGTACAAGTTACTCAGTTTAACTTCTCTAAGAACGAAAATAACAGGAGTTTTTCTGCAACATATTATATTTTACGAAAATACTGACGAATGGACAAAGGACAACACGAAGATGGCTAATTTATTTTAAATCTGAAGACAAGGTTTACTGTTTCGCTTGTAAATTATTTTCCATTACTGATATTTCATTGGGGGCAGACGGATTTTGCGATTGATCCCATTTAACACAGCAAATCAAAATGCACGAACGATCTGCGGTACATTTAAGAGCTATAAACAAGTGGCTTCAAACTGAACAAAATTTTCGCACTGGCAATCTACTTGATAAAGAGGGCAAACAATTTTTAAGACTGGAAACGGCACGATACGAACAAGTTTTCCAAAGAATAACTGCTGTTATTTTATATTTGGCGCAACATAATTTAGCTTTCCGAGGAAGTTTCGATACTTTGTACACACCGCACAATGGTAATTTTTTGAGTTTAATACAATTAATTACAAAATTTGATTCTGTTCTAAATGATCATTTAAACAGAACAGCCATAAAAGGGCATCATTATTTATCGCATTCAATTCAAAACAAATTAATAAGTACAATGGCAAATAAAGTAAAAAAAGTAATTATCGATGCAATAAGGAGAGCAAAATATTATTCCATTTTATTGTACACCAGATGTGAGCCATTAAGAGCAATTATTGTTGTTTTTCGTTATGTCAACATAACATACGAGGAGGTTGAAATTAAGGAACATTTTATCAAACTTGAGATATTGAGTTGGCAACGAAGTGATTGCGGATTTTGTCATTAGGTGATATTGACAAAATGCGCAATCACTTAGTTGCCAATCCAATAGTTCACGATAGAATAGGAAGGGGACTATCTGAAACTATCATGCTCATTCTGGATCAGTTGGGAATAAAAATATCCGACTGTCGCGGACAAGGATGGCGTCAATATGAGGGGAATATCAAGGAGTACAAACATTGACACGTATATTACGTGTAAATCCTAAAGCGTTTTATGTACCATGCGGTAGTCACAACTTGAATTTGTTATTGGAAGATATAGCAAATTTATCAACCTAAGCACTACATTTTTTTGATGTTTTACAAAAAATTTACACGATATTTGCAGCATCGACATCGCGTTGGGATGTTTTAAAAAAATACACTGAAAAAATTACACCTAAACCGTTATCAGAAACTAGATGGAAATGCCGTTTTGATAGTGTAAAGGCTATTTGATTTTATGTTCGTCAATTTCGAAACGCTTTGATTGAAATTGACAACCACGAGTCTGACAATAAATTGAAAATTGAGATTTTTTCTATAGTGCGCAAGATAAATGAATTTGAATTTATTGCCAGTCTTATCATTTGGTACGAAATATTATCAAAAACTAACATCGTCGGCAAAGTATTGCAAAATCAAAAGATGCGAATCGATTTAGCCACGAAGCATCTGAAAGATCTTAACGTATTCTTTGCGTAATATAGAAATGAAGGATTTAGCAAAGCTATGATCGCAGCAAATGAAGTTGCAAAGGAAACGGACATAACACCACATTTCAAATCATCATACAGGGGCAAAAAATAGAAATTATTCGATTATGAAGGACAGGATGAATCATCGATGATCAACGATAAAGAATCATTCCGTGTCCATTACTTTTTCAAAATAATAGATAGTGCGTTAGTATCCTTTACAAGTAGATTCGAATTATATGCAAATCACCAAAATATTTTTGATTTTCTATACATGAATGAGATTGGAAATTTAGATGATGAATATTTATTAAGGTATTGTCAAGATCTTCACTTACGTTTGAAAGGAGATTTCGAGGGAACTGAAATGTTTGAAGAAATTAAGATGTTACAGCCAATAACGAAAACGAATTATTCGGCTTTAGATTCGATGAATTACATTGTAAAGAACAATCTCTCGGAAGCATATCCAAATTTATTAATCGCATTACAAATTATGTTAACGATGCCAGTAACCGTGGCTTCAGCGAAACGTAGTTTCTCGCGATTGAAACTAATAAAAAATTATCTGCGATCATCGATAAGCCAAGAGAGATTTTCATCTCTGGCTATTCTGTCAATAGAAAGTGAAGTAGCAAATTCAATCGATATTGATGTTATCAAAGATTTGACTTGGAAAAACGGCAAGAAAAATTATTTATTATTATTATTGGATTGTATTATTATTTAATATTCATCTTATAAAAAATTGATTGATATAAAATATGTTATATTTAGTGAAGTGATGATTTTGGAATATACCGTTATCTGTAAAACTTATTTACTTTATTATGAAACTTGTTATTGTAATAACTAACAAACTATGTATAATGCAAGGATATTTATTAATGTTAACAAAAAGGTTTGAAACTAATAAAGCTTTACTAATAATTTTAATCGAATGGTGCAAGGGAGCCTTGGATTTCATAATACGTGTGACCTGTTTCGATGGACTACGTTCTTCGTAAGGGACTACACACTTCGTAAGATCGTTAGAGAGCAAGTTATACATATAGGTACGTTGTCGCAAGAATTCTACGGAAAATTAATCTAGCTTGTCTGAAGAGACAGTTTTATCGACATATTAACGGTTCGACCTTTGATCTCCGATTACGAGGATCGGCAGTTACTGACTGGAGTCTTAAAAATCTTTCGTAACATATGCTGTTATTTACAAACATCTTTCAGAATGTTCATAAATAAATTTGGTGTTCAAAATAAACAGATTCCTAGAAAATGTGAAACATTCGGATGAGGTTGTAACAGAATCAGAGATTATAAACGTATATAAAGTGTGGCATCAATGGAATAGTTCGTAGAAAGACGTACAGTAACACGCGAGAAACATGTCTCTTAAAATCTTCACTTTTCTGTTCCTCTTACTCATCGTCGAGTCGTTTGGTGCTGCTGTTTATGGTAAGTTTTCTCTGCGATGTTTACAGTTTTCTAATTGCCATTTATTTTAATAATACAGTAGCGGACAAAAGTTTAAGACGAAATGGAAGAAATAAATAATTGATTTACTTTCCATAAAAAATATAAATACAGTGTTCTACCTTGGGCATTAACTAATTAGACATTTGTTTGTACACTTATAAAAATAATTTCATTTTGATATTTTGCTCAGTAGCTAAGTTATAAAAAAGGAACGAAATCTGCATAATATTTCGTCGGTCAAAAGCTTAAGACTACACAAAAAATATTAACTTTTGGTAAGAAAATATACACAATTTTTATTTAAATTTAATATTTTGTCCGATATCCGTTATTTCTTATCACTTCGGTACATTTTCTTGGCGTAGAATCTATTAATTTTTTACATTGATCTACCGTAATATTACTGCAAACTGTTTCAATTGTAGAATAAAGTTCATTTAAATTTTTCGGTTTATAAGCTTGTACTGTCTTTTTTATAATGCTCCACAAATTCTCGATTAATTTAATGTCTGGTGATTGCGACGGCCACGGCAACACGGTAATATTTTCTTCTTCGAAGCACTGTTTCATAACCCGAGCTATGTGCTTCGGATCATTATCATTTTGAAAAATAAAATCATCATTCATATTGTTGCGTACGAAAGACAACATTGTGTTCTTGAGTATGTCCAGGTATTGAAAACGGTCCATAATTCCATTGATACGACATATCGGCAGATTTTGCCAATCTTCACTTGCCCAATGCTTATGAGCTCTAGCAAATGCAAGTCGTCTTTTTCGATTCCTAGAACTCAGCAGTGATTTCTTTTGGGGTTTTCGCCCACTTAAGTTAAAGTCTTCTAATCTTCTCCTAACTTCTTTAGTTCTAGCACTAATTTGTGTATCATTTTTATAGTTTATCTCCGCAGCAATATTATTTGCACTACGAAAACGATCCATTTTCGGCGTTGTTTTCCGTTTTTCGATTGATCGCGATACATGCCTGCCTTTAAAAATTTATACCAAGCATGCTTACAAGCCGTTTCTGACCTGTTCACTATATTTGCTATTTCGCAGCCTTACGATTTGTTCTCTTTCGTTTTCAAGTAAGTTCTTTGATTTACCCATAGTCTGTTCCTATCTAAATGGATTTTAAGCAATAAAAGAATACACTAAATAATGATTTTGACATTCCAGAATCAAAATGTTCAAAAACTGTACTCATATTCACGTTTTACACAGATCGTCTTAACCTAATGTCCACTGCTTATAAGTGCTAAGCGGTAACGAACTGTTGTAACTCCTACATTGTTTATATTTAACAACTGACGGTCTGAAGTTACGAAGGTCAAACATACAACTATGTCATTCCAAAGACACAAACCGAATAGAAGAACAATATGCGTATAAGATGTTTATAATCCGATTTACAAATCATCTTCTTAAACTTTTGTCCGCTACTGTATATTATAATTTCTACTAATTACATTGACAAACTTTTTTCAGAAGCAAAACGAAATTGTATACCGGGTAAAAGTTACTTTGATGGGTGCAATACTTGTTTTTGTCAAGGAAGTGGAGATATAATCTGTACCTTGAAATACTGTGAAATAATCGATTCCAAAACTGGTACTACGAAAATGGCAGAATACATACCCCCTCCGGACGATTTTTGGAGTAACTAACGATATTAATCATTTATAAGTACATTAACACTTGGTCAGTCGTTCAAACTGTCGTGGGCAGCACAAATTAGAATATCATATGCTTTTCAACGAACTATTGTATATCTGATCAGTAACAAACAAGATATTTAAAAAGAATAAATTATTATCTCAAAAACTGAATTTATTATCTAACACTATTTTCCTTTGCCATTATCTCTTACATAAATATCATAGAATGCACTAACCTAAACAATACTTTTTCTCTTTCTTTTGTTTGCAATTGCCTAATTATATAATGAAACAAAACTACATTACTAGGATATTAAAAGAAATAAGGATATATATGTACATATACAGTATATGTCACAAAAGTATTCGGACAACTTCTAAAACAGAATAACTTTTTAAAAGTTGCACCAAACGGCTTGATTTTTTGTTGGGAAGTTTACTACTAGTAAACGTTATTTTAGTAACGTTAGTAGTAAACAATTTTTTTATTGGAGCTTGCAATAAAAATATAAGAGATACGTTTTGTAGATTTATATCGATTATATATTTACAAGTCGAAAATTTCATCAAAATGAGTTAACATTGTCATGACTTGTAAGTTATAATTGTAACGGTAAAAAAATGACAATCCTTGATTTTCGCAGCTTATAACTGTAATAATAAATCTAAAAATCTTTACATCTTCCAATGTTTGCCGCTTGTTTCTACATAAACCGATTTAGATCAAATTTTCAGCGCAATAATTTCTAAATCATACAAAAGATATGTAATGGTTGAGATTTTACGATATGTATGATTTATAAATAATTGCATCATCACCGAAATAAATCACAGGCAACACTGGAAAATACTTCGAGCGATCAGTTTCGTCTCTAACAGAAATAACTTCCGTCATTTGCCAATCAATCCGAAGGGACTCAGGCACTGCAGTACCAGGAGTAAATTAAATTCTACTTTTTAAACTACTTTGTCCAAATATAAATTCTGTGAGGTGTCTTGTTGCTTTTCAATTGCTCTCCTGGTCTTTATTTCTATATTCGACGTATTCATAGCAGAGCGATCCAAAATCAGGTAATAGCTGTCAATTTATAGAAAGTTGTTGTCAACGAATTTTGGAGTACGATATAGAAATATTTAATACATTAAAAATGAAAATTAGCGGATGAAATAGAAAGAGAGCCTCAATGTTTGTAAGAAGGTAAGTAATTTCATAGTGATTCGACAATAACTGGCAGTTGTATGCAATTTTAAATAAAAAAAAATTTATTGTAATTAGATTTCCGGTGAAATTAAACATTTGGGTAGTGGTAAGGAACGTTCATTGACAAATAACGAGACAAGAAACAGAAAGCCGTGAAGAATTCAGGTATCGAGTATATAAACGAGTATGGCAAATGGAAACTTGTGTCGAAGAAGCAAGTCTCCATCAATGTTCGGGACTGTCATCAAAAAATTGGAAAGTTGGCTGTAACACAATTTCGATGAACATCATTCATGGATTGTGCAGAAGATTTTATAGATTAAAACCAGCAAACACTTTTCCCGATACAGTTCATAAACATAGATGAACCAAAGAGTAGGGGACCTAAGAAATCTGAGGAGACACCAAGAAAGCTTGCCGGTTACAACATTAATGATAAACCAGTGCCTTAAGACTTCTAATATTACTATAAAACATATTCGTGTCTTGCATAAGAAAATGAAAGGTGGGGAAGTAGCTTACACGGATAGAAATTCATAAAGTTAGTTTCTACATATATCTGATCAGGTGTAGATACTATTATACATCACATATTATGCTACCTTGATCGCTACAGTGAGCAATGAATTTTTTTTACGTTTTTCTGTAAATTTTATTAAATACAGTAACGACCTTCTTCTAGATATCCATTCCTATATTATACAGTCTTGGAACACTTGGAGACAAACTTTAGCAGCATGCAGTACTCGTCAAAACAAGGAAAAGAATTTTAATAAACGTGGACTCAAGAACCATTAGTTTCGGAGTTATGAAATGTTTAGTCTATAAAAGTATGTAGTGTGTATAGTAAACCAGCTGCTAAGTTAAATGAGTTAATACAACGAATCGAAGATTGTTACCGAAGAGTAAGAAAAATGTTTCGACGGGAAAGACCTTTCAACGAGTATGTGCTTCTATGAAAAATCGTGACAAAGGATGTGTTGTAACGAACATATACTGTAAAAGTAATGTCTTATTGATAAAAAGATCTCATAACTCCGAAACTAATCGTTTGTGAACACATATTTACTAAGATCCTTTCGCTTGTTCTATATGTTTCTAAGGTTTGTCCCTAACGTTTTTGTACGCACTGTATGCATCAATAAACCTCTATAAATACTTCTTGTTATTCTGTACGCAGATACATATTTACGAAGTTCTTAATATGTCAAACGATTTCGGCGACTTGTGTTACTTGTCTTATACTAACAATAAACCTGTTAAACACTATATGCATTGTTGTACCTTATATCATCTGGATATCTATCACTAATAGCAGATGCAAGAATGACTACTTACTCAAATCGCTCGTCAATTACGTGAGAACGAAATCGCTACTAGTAGTCGCTTTACCGTAACAAAACGCCTACATAAACAAGATCTTTTTAATCAATTAGTTATAAACAGTCGTACCACGTTGCACGCGCTGTTTACGACAGATACTTGCTTGTGCACATACTCCGCATTTGATATCTAATCTATTGCTGAAACATTTTTGGATCAATGTGATTGAAATTTCTTTTATTATTACTTTAGCTGTATTTCCGTATACTCTATCTTTTATAACGCTTCATATTAAATTGAGGGTGTTGTGGCTTTCGGATAAAAAAGATATCTCGGTTCCTATTTGGCCTTATGCAACATTTCCTTTCTCTTTTCTAATTCGTAGAAAAATACTAATTTTACAATGACCTACATGGTAATACAAAGTGATCACAATTTTAGATGTTATTTTATTTATTTATGCGAAAAGATGATATATAGACTTTGCTAACATTTCTGAATAGTTTGAAATTATAAGTCGATTAGTTTCAACTTGTAATCATAACACAACTTTTAAAAAATAGAAGAAGACCCCGCTAGTAGTTGAGCGACAAAAATTATAGAAATTAATGTAGCAATGTAGTATAGTATAGTATCGTGAACGGATTGCTTGGGAGATATCAGGTGTGTGTTGTCAACGTTATCATGGAGTGTTGTCAGCGTTGTCATGGAGTGTTGACAGCGTATTTTAAAAAGAACCGTTATAACGAAGTCAGTTAGTGACGAATAATGATTGCGTAAACATAGATTGACGGAGCACTATACCATTTTCTCACATAAATTTTTACGAAGACGCCTTTTTAATTCCTAAATAGCTTTTTATAAAAACTAATAAGCAGGATGGAATTTGGCATATTTTTTAAGAATGACAAAAGTTACATTATCGCAATTATATTGAGATGGAAGTGTTGTTTTCCGTGATAATTGTAGCTACTGACTGTAAATGTCGCTGATGCAGTACTACTATATTTTCTTCTCATTTAAGAATTGTGGAAGAAGAATCGGACACAGGCGCCGGGATTTGAATCCGGGACCCGAACGTTCGTAACGTGCGCTGCCGTCGTCCGACACAAATTAGTGTCGAGTGGTGGTATTTGTGCTGTCGAGTGCTGCCACAATATATACATTTATAATACATTTTGTACATACAATTTTACAAAAATAATTAACAAGTTAAAAAGTGCCATTTTGAGCACCTTCTACTTTTTCTTATGCCTCAGGAAACTAACCAATTTTTACGTATCTATCTCATTTGATAGATACTTTTAATACTTATAACTTATATTTCAAAAAATATATGTTAAAAAAGATACATATTAAATATATACTTGTCGGGTTTGCATTAGAATTAGGGTTGGAGACGTGAAACGAATCTTCGTTTGGATTACACGTTGTCGTTATGCAATAGAGAAGGCATTGGCTAGTGCAAATACGATTATCATAGAATCGGACACGTAACCGTGATAATTAGATACTCTAGAAATTAATGACAATGATCCAAGGTTCAATAACGAATCCGCGGTCGACGGGATGATAGATGAACGTACTCCCAAAATCTAAGTCGGATGCATAATATTCACTGGTCGTAAAGGGTTACTTCCTTCATCAGTGAGATCGCGAACGAGAATGTCTTTCCCGTCCCGATGATGCCACAGAGGAAAACTATAATGGGGTGTGTCTAAGGACACGAGATCATCGGATTCGTCGACAAAAGCCTTCGTTCAGAAAGTAAGGGAAATTGGCGTTGCTGCTAATTGGTCAATCTCCATATCGGTGGTTAGAAAAAGATGCTAGCCGCCCTCGAGGGAAAGTTGCTAGTGGGAGACGTCGTTCGTGGAAAAATAGGTCTCTCCTGTCTTCCTGTAACTGGAACAAAGACTGTGTATCTGTTGAGGGATTTTAGGTAACTAGATATTAGTGTTTATAACGGTCCTTGGGCTAGCCGATCACGTACTGCGGAGACGCGTCGACATCTGGTAAACATCCTGCCCAGAGAATAGGATCTGCGTGTGGCGAGCTACGGGACAGAAACCGTTGGAATGTTTACTGCCACGTGCCGCTACAAATCTTTCTTTTAAGGAGAGCT